CACGCTAAAAAGGGGAAAAATTCCGGCTACAATTGAACGGAGAATGCATCGGAATGACCAAATTCGCTAAGAAAGTAATAGTCGTGGACCAATTCTACAAATTTTAAAAATCGTAGATCAAAGTTGTTAGTGACATTATAGTCGTGGGATCAAAAGTGTGAAAAATTCAATCTATCTCATATAACACATAATTAAATTGAATCATTGATAGTATAATTCAATTGGTTGACCAATAATTCTGCTTTGTTAACAATCATAGAGTGTAGGGTTCGATTAAAAAAAAAAATTAGTTTCCAATTTCTTTAACCCATTTTAATAGCATGTCCAAGAATTGTCAAAATACCAATTTATCACCAATATAATTGACATGCACTCAATGACTTTGCCAATGAGTGAGTGCTTAATTTCTATATATAATGCGCTAGTGGACTATTTGGTAACATAGTTAACTTATTAGTCAATTTTAGCTTATTTGATCACTATTAACTGTTTGATTTAGTTAAACAATTAATATAAATATTTGATTAATTAGTTTTTTGTAAGAGCTTATTGCTCCAAAATGCTAAAATTCAAAAAGCTGCTCAAAGCAACTTTTTCAAATAGCTTTTGGAGAAAATCAACTTGTATGTAATAAGCTAACAGCTAATTTACCAAACACCTTTCTACAATCACTAATGCTATCATCTAATCAAATTTACTAACCCAATCCTCTAACAACTATTCAACTAATAGCTATTTACCAAACGCTCCTTAAATCTAATCCTTAATGTTGCTTCTATTGAAAGGGTAAATACATATATATGGTAAACTCTATTATATTACAAAGACAATTATTTCATAACATGACATTTGACATGATTGGAAATCCAACTAACACTAAGAAGAAGCATGAAAGTTAGACATGCCAACTCAAAAGAGGGAAGACAAATAACTAAAGGCATAAAAGAGCATAGAAACAGCAAAATATAATATAATATAATGTCCTATGCAAAGACATTATATTCTTTTCTTGCCACCTAGCTAGCAAAGTAAAGCAAATGGCCCTCTCTGCATTGTCTATACTACTACACTAATCCAATTAAGCAACCAACTAACACATCTTTCTAGAGCCCATACCTCTTGGTATGAATTGGAATCTTTATTGAATTGATTCACCAAAAGATTTAGCATTTAGTTTGTATGATATGATGTAGCTTCCTAACCAATTAATAATGGGGGAGCCATTGGACTCACTGAAAATCAGATCTGACCACAAATTCTCCCCTCTAAAGTGTAAGCACTTGTGAAAGTAGCTGGTGTACCAAAAAGCATTATTATATATGCAGTGCTCGACTTTTGTAAATCAAGTTTGGAGTTGATTGGGGTGTCCATGTACACTTGACCTTTTGTGCCCATCTATGTTGTGTCCATTATATTTGGGGGTAAAGTTTAGATAATCATTAATCTTATATATATTATAGATTTGATAAAATTGGTGCGGTGGTGATTTGATAGATCTTGGCTTGGTTACCTAGAAGAGAAAAGAGAGGTGAGTAATGACATTATTATTATTATTCCTAATTAGTAATAAAGCTAATAATAGTGGATTCAGTTTCTATATATAATACACGTATCACCACTTTTAGTCTCTGAGTTGTTTGTAAAGTGACACTTTTAATCATTCGTTAACAACTATATATGTTGAAATTTATCGTTATTCTTTAGAAACCCTAAGTAGCTTAGTCAACCAATAGCACTTCAACTGATCTACAACTTATGCATATTGACCTTCATTGGCGCTGATAAAAAAAAATATAAAAATTAGTGTAATGAAGGTTAGTACTAAGTAGTCTATGTTTCTTGCCATTAAGCTAAGCCATGGAGTTAGGGCGCAATTTAAGAAAACAAAAAAAAAAGAATATGATGTGAAACTGCATTATTAGTTATGGTTAATTAAGGTTTCTAAAGAGTACCGCTAAATTTTGACAAATTCATTAATGAAAAGGATTAAAGCCACACTTCACTAACAACTTAAAATTTTAAAAATGATGCAGGACACTTATACCACCTAAGGAGGTGTTTGGTTGTATGGAAAATGTTTTCCTTGAATTTGAGTGAAACTAGATTTTTCTTTGTTTGGTTGGATTGAAAACATTTTTCTCAAGTTTGTTTGGTTGGTTGGATGAATTATACCCCTGGACATATTAGGAATGAGTTTGAAGTAAACTGATTTGAGGAAGCGCCAAAATAAACTCGACCGATTCAGGCCAAGTCGATCACATAATTGGCCCCCGGGGCCCCAAGGTCGACCATTAATCTAAGAGGTCAGGTCGACAGGTCGTCCTCCTTGAACTCGGTCGAGGCAGGTGAAGACGTGGTCAAGCAGGGGCTGTAACCCTTCGCCCCAAGCAAGTGGTGCCCGATTCGCACAAAGTAGTTATGAGGGGAGGCTGAGTATAAAAACATGTCATTTGTCCTCATTTTAGACACGATTTGTGTTCTATCACAACATCCTTTGTACGCTCAGCTCATTAAACAATTAATACAATATCAATACACTTTGTTTCTCTCACGCTTTATATTAACTTTACATTCCTTTATCTTTTAATTAATCAGATTTAATTAATTCGGACCATCCGGATTAATTCCATCAATACCACTCTTAAATGTTGTGACACAAACTCTTGTTTAATCATGGAGGATCCTATCTACAAATTATATATTCTTACGAACTTTTTTTAAAAAATTTGATCAACTAGTTACTTATAAATTAGTCGATATCATAATTAATAATTCAAATGAAGTTACGTAAAATTAATGAATTTTATATATGCATAGTATATCTAATATTATGAGTACGTTTGAAACTGGTCCCGACAACTAGGATGTTTGTTCAATCATGATTGTATATTCAATGTAGGCAAAGGTTGATAGCAGTAAATATATAATTGTAATGTAGACGTACGGCCAGACAACTGCGTTTGGACTTCCCCCTTGTGGCCTTGTCTTTCACTTTAATTTCTACATGCATCTTCTAAAAGTATTTCATTTTACCATAAGTAATAAACATTTTATTTTTGTCAAATCACAGAGTGCCTTGAGCAAGTTCTAATTGTATAAGACACCTTTAAGCCCGTATCATATTAATATTAAGACTAATTTCTATTCGCATCGGTCCGACCAAATTAAAGGGCAAAGTGCTAGCCAGATTAGTTTTTTCATACGAGAGGGAATTCGAACTCCCTACCTCTATTAAGGGACAATAGTGCACGACCACTCACACCAACCAAGCTGGTTTATTTTTGATTTAGTATTACATTTGTTAGTATAAATATTACATTTCATCTTGACCCGATGCGTCTCACGAACAAAAATCCGTGAGATAGTTCCACATAAATTTTTGCCAAAAATAATTGGGCTTCTTTGTTATTATCTAGTTGTCTTTAAAATCCCAACATGCTTAGGCTGGCATATCATCATCTTCGGGATTAATTAATGGCGATTATGCATGAGATAATCATGCATGCTCTCTTCCTAAGCTAATTAAGCCAAACACATATCTTCCAAAGCTAATAAATATCTTTACGAATAATTAACAATGATTAAAGAAACAATCAACCATGCTCTTTCCCCACGTACTATTACATCTACACCAGATGTGTGAACTTCCAACAACTATAATTGACGGATAACAAAAAAAATAATTGACCCTGTTTGGTAAAATAGTTAGCTTATAGGTTAATTTTAGCTTATTTGATCACTATTAGTTGTTTGACTTGATTTAAAAATCAATACAAATGTTTGGTTAATTAGCTTTTTGTACTTCAAAATGCTAAAATTCAAAAAGCTACTCAAAACAACTTTTTTAATTAGCTTTTTGAGAAAAGAAATTACACCAAACAGCTATCAGCTAACAACTAATTTGCCAGACACCTTTCTACAATCAGCTAATGTTATCAACTAGTTATACTCTCTAATTAACCCAATCAGCTAACAGTCATTTACCAAACATGGCTAAAATTTTAAAAGGATAAGGGTAAAATAGGCCTTCAATTTTGCTTACATAGCATATTACTACGTAGAATCCTATTTACATTTTTTTTATTAAAAAAAAAAAACTATTCTTAAAAAAATGGACTTTCTAGCAGGCTTCTCCCAGATCTGACGGAGAAGCCGGCTACCGGTTTCTCTATCAAGCTTCTTCGTCCATGGCAGTCCGCGGGCTTTTCTGTCTAGATTTGACCGAGAAGCCCACCAAGCTTCTTTGTCCTTGGCAGGTCGCAGCCAAGCTGCCATGGATTGTTGTGTATTTTTTAATTAATATAATTATTTTATTTTTTATAAAAATATAATTTCTAATAATTATTAATTTACGGGACATCTTACGTGGCACTATGGCAGTTGACTTAGGAATAACAAGCTATTATAGATCAAATAGGTTAATTGTACAATTTTAACAAGTTTATGAATCTAACTGAAAGAATTTTTTGTTCGAGAGTTTAATTATACATTAATATATTATTGGAGTGTCTATTTGACCCTTATCCCAATTTTAAATGTATAATATGCTTTGTAAATGAAGAAAAGTGTAATAGATATTTATTTATTTTTCAACCATGCATTAAGGCAAGCAAATAAGGTGATAAATACATTTATTAAAAAAAAATCCCCAAAAAGGAGAGGAAAAAAGGAAGATTATCTATGGGAGTTTGTTTGTTTTTTTTTTTTTTTTTTTTTTTTTTTGGATCAGTCCAGCAAAGGAAAATTAAAAACTCCACCCTCAACTGTCTCAGTGGGGGGAAAAGAAAAGAAAAAAAAAAGTGGAAATTGCTCGAAATTAAGGGCATGTGGGAGGCACGTGACTTTGTTGAAGATGATGGTTTGTTTGAGGTGATCTTGATCTTCCATGGAAAAACAGTGTGACATGTTTGCAAATGTTGCAAGAGAACCATGGAAAACCTCGTCGTAATTCACATCATCATCTTCACCGGAGATTCTTGATCAGAGTTTCAGTTTTCTGTTCATCGAGCTCTGATGTGATATGGGGATGGAGATTCAAGAGCGGCTTTCTTGCTTTGTAGATTCAATTGTGTATAGAACTTCCTGATGAACTCCTCGGCGTCCATATCCACCTGGGAGTTGATCTCCTCGGAATCCTTCAACGGGAAGGGCGAATCCGTCACTCGCAGCTGCCTCACCGTGGGGGTCCGCCCGAACCCCGGCAGCGCCGTGAAAGGAGACCCATCAACCGCCGCCTCGGGACGGTCGTTCAGCATCTCGAAAACCCTCTGGAAAACATCGGCGTCGATCTTGTTTTCGCGGCGGTGGTTCCTGCTCCGCTTGCTGGCGTGGTGGTGGAACAAGGCGGCGGGGGTGTTGCTGCAGCTGAACTCGTAGTCGTGCGGGGCGTGGCCGGTGAAGACTCTGACGGAGTGGTGGGAGCGGCAGGTGATGAGGGCGGAGTAGTGGTGGCTCAGCGCCTTGCCGGCGGCGAGTTTGCCTCGCTTTAGCATGAGTTGAAGGGCGAGTTGGAGGTTAAGGTGAATTAGCTTGCTCTTCGAAACGCCTTTCCTCACCATGTAGAAAACTATCCTCACAATGTTCCATAGTTTCTTGCCAACTATTTGTGGGGTTATTTGTTCTATCTCCATTTTTTCTTGTTTTTAGCTCTGTGTGTGTGAGAGAGAGATGTTGTGTTGTGTTTTCTTTTTTTGGTTTATTTTGGAATGAATTGAAGAGGATAAATGGATAATAGATGCATGATGTATTTATAGGTCCATGTAATGAAGAAGATGCCACAAGGCTAATTATTTATTTATTATTAATTTTTTCCTTTTTAATTTCCAGGAATAAAATATTTAGACTTTCTCTCTCTCTGTCTCTCTCAATGAAAGTGAGGTGATATTTCTCTAGAGATTTTTTATAAAGTCGGAAATTGCTGTATAATTTAATAGCAGCTCATCACCATGAGCTAGACATCATTTTTTTTAAAAAAAAATCAAAATTGATCGAGAATAACCAAAACTGTCAAATTAAATTACCACCTCATAATTTTCAAAAAAAAAAAAAAAAATTAAGGAGGTGTTTGGTAATTAGCTTATAGCAGTTAGTTGATTGAGTTACTGGGTCTGACTAATTGATAACATTAATTAATTGTAGTAAGATATTTGATAAATTAATTAAATATTGAATGTTGCATACCCTATATATGTATTTTTCCTCCCCATCTTTCCCTCATGATAATATAACATTATCTAATTGGTAATTAATAATGTTTTTTTGATTAATTGTGGGGCCAAGTATTTATGCATGGACACTCAATGAATGGAAGCTACCCATCAAGAAGAGAAATTAGGAAAGGCACAACCAGCAGTCAATGGCAAAAGTATGCATTGCGGCTGGGTAAAGATCGTCTTATGACCCTAGTTAGCTGACAAAGATCACAAGAAGGTAAATTGACATAATTCAATTTTTTTTTTTTTTTTCATTCTACGAAAGAAAGGGTTCCACTTAGATTGTTGGAAAACTTTTTCATCATAGCTGACTAACTTTACCCACCTTGTTACTTCACAGCCGGTAAAGAATCACAAGGATGTTAACCATCTTAGGTTGTCCATAACTGACTATGACTCAAACTAAGAAAGTCATCCAATAAACAACTTTCATAAGAAGTCAAACTTAAAATATTGTAGTTATGAAATTAATTAATTGTGTAATCAATTTGGCTAAGATTGCCAATCATTTAGTGAATTGTGAAATTATTATTGGAAGGCAGCAGACTCTAGCTAGCTAGCAGTGGTTGGTCACCTAACATTACTCAAAAGATGTAACCATCTCATTAAAGGGTTAAAACCCCCATGGTCAAAACAAGTTGTGGACTAACTGCAAATTTCCAAAATAATAGATTATTGAATTGAGGTCGTTGTTATTGTAAATTTTGGATTTGATTTAAAAATTATTAGTCTAATCTGCAGTGCTGGGTTAATTAATAATTGGAAGCTTCCTTGGAGGGAAATGTTAATGATTGATGCATACTTTTTGTTTGATCTGAGCATATTGGAGGTTAATTATATCTTTGAAGATTATTAGAAGTTGCTTTATTGTTTTGTTTTTCTTTTGTCAGAGAACATGTTTCCTCAATTAGAAGAAATTTGACAACTTTGATTAAATGAAAGAAATATGTGTCATCTTATTCATATCTTATAGGTAAATTTATTGTATTATTAGATAAAAAAAACTCACATAGAATTAAATAAATATTTAATGAGAAAAAATAGTAAAATCATAAAGGAAAATAATAATAATATAAATTAATAATCAATACATCATAAACAAAAAATTTAAGATAAAGAAAAAATTTATAAATATATAAAAAGTAAACACAATACGTCAGGATTAAATGTTTATCACTATACTAAATATTATAACTAGTTAGTAATGAAATTGTAACTTTATTTCTTTTTATTTGCTCAACAACTTATGTACATTTTAACAACAAGATGTTAGACTTGGTTTTTCAAACCTCCATACAACTTCATGCACAAATTATTATATTTAACGATGTTATAAAATAACTCGCAATCACTACCGAAAGGTGCATTTTAGATGCAGCTCGTCTTGTGACAATAGCCCGTAAAATACTATAATGAGGTAAATTAGCTTAGGTTGTTTATAGTTGGCTACTTCAAACCAACAAGTTAAATAGACAACTTTCATTAAAAGTCAAACTTGAAATTTTGTAGTTATTAAACCAATTATTTGACCAACTTAACTATGAGTTGCACCTATAAGAGCAACCCTAAGATGAATTTTTGAGAGTTTTTTTTTTTTTTTTTTTAATCTTTTTAGCATAGGTGAAGGAAAGAGATGAGAGGAGAGAGAATAAAAAATTATTGCAAATGAAAGTTTTTTTGTGAGACTCACTATCAAGGAGAAAAGTATAGTAAGACAACTAATTTTTTTGTTTTTCAATTTCGTTTTGATTGTTGTTTTCTCCTACCTAGGGGTATGCAATCAATTAATTAAAGTTTTTAAAGCTTTAACTGTTTATTGAACCGAACTTTGTATTACTAAATTAATCGAACTGAAATTTTTTTGAACGGATAATTGATCACCGAACGCACGGAGTATTACGGACGAGTACCGTACAATATAGGATTGTCAATAATTGAAGATATTATTTGAGGCTGTCCGAAATGTCAAAGACGCCACTTGACTTCAAGTTTAAGGCAATGATTGATGTGAAAAGTACAATGCTTGCGCGAATTATCTTTGTTTTTTTTTTTTTTTTTAAACTTAAGTGATTACGGAGTAATTTTAACTTAAGTGATTACAGTCTTATCAAATAAATTATAAATTTACAGGACTCCACTTTTAGATCAGAGTTACTACAAAAGTATATTAGATGTGACGCAATCAATTTACCGATCATTTTCTAGTTTACATTTTATTTTGTTATTCTGTATCAATAATCATTCTTGTATGATTTATCTTCTTAGTAGACTAAGGAATACATTTATGATAACTGCACAAGACGTGGAGACCTACAACATTCTTATACTAAAATAACTCATTAATATTTATTATTATTATTATTATTATTATTATTATTATTATTATTATTATTGTTGTTGTTGTTGTTGTTGTTGTTGTTGTTGTTGATATTGTTGTTGTTGTTGTTATTGTTGTTATTATTATTATTATTATTATTATTATTATTATTAATTGTATGTGTTTGCATGTTTTTGAAAGCTGTCATGTAACGTTCGGTTTGACTGTTGTTTTCGCTCAAAACAAGGAGAAAAGATGGATTCTTGATGCATTTACAAACGAAGACATGAAAATATTTTATATTTTTGAACGACAACATGTTACTTTGGTAAAAAGTTAAAAAGGATTGAAATTCATCTATGGTTAAAGATTTTAGTAAAAATAAAAAATAAAGATTAAATTGGCCACTGAACAAAATATGAAAATGTAATTAAACGATTGAACAAAAAAATAATGCAATTGTGCCACTAAAAAAGCAAAATATATATAATTTCACTAACTAGCAGGTTAACAGGCTAGTAGGTGAAATTACACACATTTTGCTTTTTCAATGGCCAAATTACATTATTATTTTTATTTTGTGGTCTAATTACATTTTCAGGTTTGTTCAGTGTCCAAATTGACGCTTATTCCAAAAAAAGAAAAAAATTAATTTTATAAATATTACTGAAACTTTTAACTTTATAATATTTATAAAACCAACCACATCGATCTCTTTTACTATTATTTTACTGCAACCATCAACCAATTTTTTTGTTTTGCAATATCCCAATGTTACCAATATAATTATATTGTGAAAACTGTCAATTAGTTGGTCCAATAGCAAAATTTTTCTTTTTAATTAATTTTTTTAGATCTATTACTCACAATAGAATATAGTCTTCATGTAAGTATGTAACTAAGAAGCAATTACATCTTACACCATAAACAATATTAATTTTATTTTTGGAGAAATTGATTTTTTCCCTCCGTCCCTTATTCCCTTATAGTTATTTTAATCCATAATTTTTTTTTGGGAAAAGGGTCAAATACACCCTCCAACTTTAAGTAAGAAGTCAATTAGGCCCTCAAACATTTGAAAGTTGCAATTAAACACATTAACATATTAATTTAGTGCATTAAGATCCCAAACCCTAAATGTAACCTGTAATAGCAGGTAAATAATTTACTGGCAAAACTCCGACGACATTCCGGCGAAGGCGTGCCCATCAAGTCGCCGGAAAAGGCGATCAAACCGGTCACCTCCTTCTCCGTTGTTGGAGATGGCGACCAACCATCTCCGTTGACTGGAGATGGCAGCAACCAAACTAGTTGCCATCTCCAACGACGGAAAAAGCGACAGGTTCAACGGTGCAGCGTTCGGCGGGCAGAAATGTTGTTCGACAGTGAAATTCATTGGCGGTGTAGAATTCCGTTTGGCATTAAATTCATTCACAGCAAATTATTTTCATAATCTTAGTAGCTTTTTCATCTACGACATCGATTCTGGGATGAGGCGCGATTTTCTGGATTAGGCAGCAAATTCTCCGGTCGACAGCTTCGTAACTCCAGTAAGGCTGCAACAATCTCTCCAACTGGGCAGCACATTAAATCTGGTGCTCCTTTTACATAGTGTTTTCTCCTTTATTCAATTGGTGTGGATTTACCTAATAGGTTGCTATTCAATTAGCAATTTTTGAATTGCTAACTTGCTGTGATGATTACGAACAGAGCTTTCAATTTCATTTGGTGCTGTTGAGTAATTAGCTTAGTTTAAATTGGTAATTGTTTAAATGGTTTGTATCTTTGCTGTACTTGGAATCATCATGTTTGGCTAAGCATGGTTGCCATGCCGGAGTGTCGCCGGAAAGTTGCCGGAGTTCCACCGGTGAATTATTTACCTACTATTGTAGGTTACAATTAGGGTTTCGAGCTTTAATGCACTAAATTAATATGTTAATGTGTCTAATTGCACATTTCAAAAGTTCGAGGGCCTAATTGACTTCTTACATAAAGTTGGAGGGTGTATTTGACCCTTTTTCCTTTTTTTTTTTTCTTTCATTGCTATATACCCCATTAACTTTTGAAGTAAGTTGCAACCTTAGTCCATAAAGAAACAATGTCATTAAATTACTTTAGAGTTTTACCTAATACATATCTATTTTAGTGATTTTTTCTAACCATTTTTTTTTTTTTTAGTTTCAGTATTTCATATGCAAATAGAACAAAGAATTAGCAACTTCATTCTCTAATTTTTTTCTCTTTGATTGTGATACTATACATTGTCTCTATTATTTCTCCTCATACACGAACCTATTAAAGACAAGTTCACTATTTTACATATGAAATACCAAAATTGGAGAGGGTTATAAAGAAAAAAATATAAAAAATTACTAAAATACACATGTACTAACCAAAATCATAACAAAATTTAACAATTCTATTGTTCTACAGACAAACTGCAACTTATTCAAAAAGCTAAGTTAAGATATATATTCCAATGGGAAGAAAGTAAGGTTAAAATTACTAATAAAAAATAATTGATAGACTAGAAACACTTTTTTTTTTCCTTTATTAAATTTGAACCCCAATTTTGAAGGCTTCTCATTACCCGTGCCTTAAAAACTTGTGGAAGATGTAAGTTGCAAAATGAGTCTGAACTTTCGAGCCTATAAATGTTTGTACACTAATACTCACAATAAAGTTAAATCAACACATCTACAGACACACACACATATTTGATTATGTGAGAACTACATGTCCAGGAGAGAACTGAGAACTAATCGCAGTCGTTCACATGTCCAGATCTAACGGATCATAAACACTGTTTTTTTTTTTTTTTTTAAATCGCAGTGACATTTTTATAAATAATTGAATTTTGAAGTGAAAATAAATTGTTTTAAAAGTGCAAGTAACAATTTTATATAGTGCACCTAAGTGCAAGTAACAATTTTATATAGTGCACCTAAGTGCAAGTAAGATGTATTAAAAGTGCAAGTAAAATGTATTAAAAGTGAAACAAATAATGTACACTAAACATCAATATTAAGTGCACCAAACGTTATTATTAAGTGCACCAATGTGAAAGACATTATAATTCGGTGCATCAATGTTAAAAAAAGGTAAATTATTTGTAGTATTAAGTGAAAATTGTTGCACTTTTAAATGATTTTACTTGCACATTTGTACTAGTTACTTGCACTTTGAACACATGTTACTTGCAACAAAGTTTAAGTTATTTATGAAAATGTCACCGCATCTTTTTTTACGGATTCTTTTTCGTGAGACGGGTCGAGTTAGGTCAGGTCAATATGCAAATGTAATACTTATACTAGAAAATGTAATACTACATCAGAAATAAAATATTTGTTACTTGTAAGGGAAAATATAATACTTTAAGGACAAATATAATACTTTTATATTTTGATGTAAAAGTGTTACTTTTCTCATGAAAAGTATTATATTTTTTCTTATAAGTAATGTTGCATTTATAAAGGTAGCAAATAGGAACGGTGTTGCAGTGTAAGGTAGGTAGGTGGCAAGAAATGGGACAAGCCAGCAATTCAAGTTTTGTACTGCCAAGAACTCCAGCCCCAATTTGGCATCATTATGTCCTGGCGATACCAAAAATATACATTAGATTAGGTCACCAGAAAATTAAAATATACACTAAATTATAATTTATGTTTTTAAACTATCTTCGTAATCCAGCTTGAAATTTAATAAAGGGAAAATGGCACTTTTTCCCCCTATGTTATATACTTATAGCACTTTTTCCCCCTCAATTATTTAAGTGACTCTTTTTCCCCCTGAAATGTTAAATGGACATATTTACCCTTAAAATAAATATTTCATTTATTTTTATTCTCCAATAAATTATTACTATAATTTGGTTCAAACTAGATACTATAGTAACCAAACCAAAATATTCCAATTACAATTTATAATCAAAACGCGATATTTAGAGTTTATTAAAATCGCGAACTGGAATGGCCGGTTCATGTTCCGAACTAAAAAAATAAAATACATTTATTGTTGAATTTAAACTATTTTAAAATAAAAAATAAAATTTTAAAATAAAGACGGTTCAAAATCGCGAACGGGATCCGAAACCGCCGGTTCATGATCTAGTTTTTTTTTATTCTTAAATTTAATAAATTGAAATTCAAATATTGGGTTCTAGATCTGAATCATAACTGAAAACTTTTAATTCGATTGCTATAGTGTCTGGTTCAGTTCGAACCGAATCGTGGTAATCGCTACATATACGCAATAATTTGTTGGAGAAGTAAAATAAATAAAATGTTTACTTTAAGGGTAGAAATGTCAATTTAATATATTAGGGGGGAAAACCACCACTTTTAAAATAATTGAGGGGGCTAATGTGCTTACATAAATAATTGAGGGGAAAAAAGTGCTATAAGTATATAACATAGGGGGAAAAAGTGTCATTTCCCCTTTAATAAATTGTATCAATCCCAATAATCTCCACCCCTCGCTTTTTTGAATTTTGGTCCGTCCGTATACATCACATCGTATCATTGTCGACCTGGGAGCATTAAAAATGCAAGAGAAATTGAATTCCAAATAACATATTAGTAAGTTGTGTATACAATTCACAATTTAATCCTCACAAAACCAAATAAAAATAAATGATTACTTGTAGGCAAAAATTTATGTAAGAAATTCTAATGGATTCTTGTCTGTGAGATTGATAAGTCGGGTTAAAATAAAAATGTACGGAGTAATATTTGTATTGAAAAATGTAATACTAATATTACACAGATCAATCATTTAGTAATAAAATATGAATTAATATTTGATGCACCGTCGGTGTATAGATGCAATACACCGGCGGTGAATGAGGTGATGACACATCATTAAAAACTAAATCAATACTAATTGAGTCTTTTTATGCAAAATAACTTAGATTTGTATTTTTTAAGAAACTTCTTTTATTTCTGGTGAGAGGCATACCTGTGAAAGAATTTGGTATTGGCGTCAGCTTCCTTGAGCCAGTGCTGCTTGGCTCTCTGCCTCCAGTATGCATCCTCCTGGGCCTCAGTGCGACTCAGAAGTTGCTCTATTCGCTGAAACTCGACAAGAGAGGCCGAGTCAGTGCATCCTCTCAAACGTTGTTGATCCCGTTTCAGCTGCACAATCTGTTTCCCATACTTATGGAACCGATCCCCACCCCATCGTGTTAACCGGTTTCCACAGTATTGAACACAACCCTGTAAACCCTGCCCTCTCCCTTCCTGCCACGCCTGCTCCACCACACCCCTACATCCCTCATCATATAACCATGCCATCTCAAACCTAAAACCCCTTCTTCTAACCCCATCCCTCCCTACCTCCTCCTGAACTGTGAAAAAAATGGCTGAATGATCTGACTTCCTGGTTCTCAAATTCATAACCTTTACATGGGGAATTATATTGCGCCACTCGTTCGTTACTAGGACCTTATCAAGTCTCTCCTCAATCCAGTTTGCAGTCCCTTTCCCCTTCTCCCAGGTATATGGGTATCCAATCATTGGCAACTGGGCCAATCCACAATCCTCAATCGTCTCCCCAAAACCTCGAAGAAGGCTATTCGGATGTGGATTTCCCCATCTCTTCTCATACTGGTATAGCAAATCATTAAAATCCCCCACCACCACCCACGGGAGATTCGATTTTGCCGCCAACATTCTCAACAAATCCCATGATTCAGCACGCCTATTACGGTCCGAATAACCATAGTAACACGTCATTCTCCAGGCCGGATTACCTGTCATAGTTACCTCAATATCAACGTAGTTTCTTGAGTAACTAAGGAGTCTCGCCGTATTATTCTTCTTCCACAATAACGCTAATCCACCACTCAAACCATCATTGTCAACATAAAATAAGCCTTCGAAACCGATCGTAACACGAAGACGCTCAGCATGATCTCGCGCTACCTTAGTTTCTATTAGAAATACAAAGTCGGGTTGCTTTTTGGACACCATGTCCACCACCTCTCGAACTGTCCGTGGATTACCCAAGCCACGGCAGTTCCAACTCAGCGTACTCATTAGCGTCGCCAAACAGTGATGATCACCGGAAAAAACGTAGGAAACCGTCGGAAACCTAACAAACCCTAGGGGAGGAGAAAACTCTAGCAAACCCTAGAGAGAAATTGAGAGCACCAAGAAGTTTCCTCTAGCAAACCCTAAATATTCTATAGAGCTAAATATAACTTCTTTTATTTCTAATTAACCAAATATATATATTTTCCTAAACATATTTCTTATTACTTAATTATTATATATATCTAATTATTTAATTATTATTAATGAAAGATTAATAACTTGCACGTTAATTAACATAATGCATCACATATTAATTCATTGGTTAATTACTAGATTAATCCATTATTTAATTACAGGATTAATCCATTAATGTTAATTAACCTGTACAAGAATTCTAATTAACAATAATAATCTATACTATATATAAAAACAAAATCCTGAAATTTTAACTTCCCGCCCAATTCCTAAAAAATCTCTCTTCCTAATAAAATATATTGATTTCTACTTTCTCATTCGTACAATAATTCTGCGTTAAAATTCTATTATAATATTATAAAATAGTGTAATACAATCTATCTACTATCTACTATCTACTATCTACTATACTAATAAGAGCCCAAGAGAGTTAGGCCTATAATGGGTAGAAAAAATGGCGGTCAAATTTTTTAATCAAATGAATGGCTCAGATTGATTAGATTTTAATTTTTTCTTTAGATTTCCTAATTTATCCTTAATGAATATGATTTTCCGTTAAGTTTTCCGTTAAATATTATCTTTTCCGTTAATTTCTGTTAGTTCACTGTTAACTTACTCATTAATTTAAAAAAAAAAAAGGTCTTAGGTTCGAACCTCATCCCAATTAAAGTTGGCATAATTAGTACTCTATTTTACTCTTATTAAATTAAATAATAATTTAGTAGTTACAACAAAAAATAATACATATGCATTTCTTTAATTTAGAATTATCTGTCTACAATGTCTTTATTCAAAAAAAAAATTATTCATTATCAATAAATTAAATAAGAGAAATAATTTCATTAGTTGTATTATCTTTATTTTTCTCCAATATAAAAATTCTTTACATTCAAATTCATCAATTGATTGTATTCGCTACATTGTCCCTAAAATGTCTTTATTAAAAAAAAATTTATTCATTATCAATAAGTTAATTAAGAGAAATAATTTTATTAGTTATATTGTTTTTATTTTTCTCCAATGTAAAAACTCTTTACATTCAAATTCATCAATTGATTATATTCACTACATTGTCTATTATCTTTTTTGTGCACTATTTTTTTAATTAAATATAAAAGTTATAATACAAAATAATGCTATATAATTATTATCAAGTATTTTATTAATACCATGAAAAAATTAAAAAAATATATATATAATTAATAAAATCAATCATATTAACTACTTGAGGGATTTGTTGACAAAGAGAGTATTCAAATCACACAATAAATTGAGTGAGAAAATACCTCGCAATGTCCTTCTTTGACAATCACCAGTTAGCGATTAGCATTAGCGGATTTGAATAGTGAATTATATCAACGGTTGATAAAAAGATATTTTAAAAAATTAGCTGTTTAAATTAACATGTAAAATGACCTAAGGGTATACATATGTTTAATAGTAATAATAATAATAATAATAATAATAATAATAATAATTATTATTATTATTATTATTATTATTATTATTATTATTATTTAATAAAAGAAATAAAATAAAACAAATAAAACATAATAGTTTTGTCACTTTTCCTACATCGGTGACGAAACTAGCATGGGAGCCTTGAGGCTCCTATAAAAGGAGCCTTATGGCTCCAATTTAAAAATTAAGCTTGCCCATCCGTTGATGGGCAAGCAGTGAGCCAGCGAAACTCGCTCTTGTTATTCGATGAGTCAAAATGACTCTACAGTAATTTTTTATTTTTATTTTTTTTAAAATATATAGAGGTGTTTTGGGGAAAATTATTCTCAAACAAGCTAAGTGAAAATATTGTAAATTGTAATTTTTGTATTTTTCAGTGGTTTGGAACAAATTGTTGCTTCAAACTGTTGAATTACCAAACACTCTCTTTAGCATTTTGGTATTTGAGTTATATCATATTTACCAATCGTTCAATATCTTTGGGTGACATTATAATTAAAAATTTTAAATTTTTACTACATTTAAATTCCTTAAATTAGGAATTTCTTTATCCATAATAATTTATTCAACAATAATGGCTGAACTAAATGAACACTGAGCAAAACACCTAATGGACAGGTACCGTTGATTCATTCATTGATCTTGTATATATGTGCATTCATTAAATATATTAGAACCCTTTGCAACAAAAATACTTTGTTACTATATATTTAAAAAAAAAGTTTAGTAACAATTATAATGAATCTCCTATATTACATTATATTTTATTCATATACTGTGAGTTACATATTTAAATAAACAAATTCGACATTAAATTACTTATGTATGAACTTCTCATATATAATCATGCATTGATATACTTTCAAATATTTATTTAATTATAAACATTGGATAGAAAAAACGAATGTCAAATTATTAAATCAAATGAATGGTTAGAATTGTTCATATTTTAATTTTTCCTTGAGATTTCCTAATTTTTCCTTAATTATATGATTATCCGTTAACTTTTCCGTCAAATACCCTTAATTCACTGTAAGTCTAATTTTAATATTAAAGTCTAATATAGAATTATAACAACATCATTAATCTAATTCTAATATTAAACTCTTAATAGAACTCTAACCACAAATCTACTGTCGGAATCTCCTCAAACAATATTAGTATATATTTAATATTTTATGCCATAATTTTTATTTGCTCTCCCTTATGTCCCATATTTGGTTCCAACCATACTCATACAATTATTTTATTGACAATTATAATTAATCTTGACTATATTATCTTGCATTTGTAAACTTAGAATTACCTATTTAAATACACAAATTCAACATTCAATTATCTATGCATGAACAATTACAATCTAATCTTGCCTTGATATACTTTAAAGTACTTATTAAAAAAAAAAAACATTGGACATTATCCCAATCGCGCAATGCGCGTAAAAACTAGTACTATATATAAAAACAAAATCCTGAAATTTTAACTTCCCGCACAATTCCTAAAAAATCTATCTTCCTAATAAAATATTTTGATTTCTACTTTCCCATTCGTACAATAATTTTGCGCTAAAATTCTATTCTAATATTCTAAAATAGTGTAATACAATCTATACTATATATATATATATATATATATATATATATATATATATATATATATATATATATATATATATATATATATATATATATATATATATATATATATATATATATATATATATAAAATCCTGAAATTTTAACTTCCCGCCCAATTCCTAAAAAATCTCTCTTCCTAATAAAATATATTGATTTCTACTTTCCCATTCGTAGAATAATATAATTTTGCGTTAAAATTCTATTCTAATATTATAAAACAGTGTAATACAATCTATACTATATATAAAAATAAAATCCTGAAATTTTAACTTCCCGCCCAATTCCTAAAAAATCTCTCTTCCTAATAAAATATATTGATTTTTACTTTCTCATTCGTACAATAATTCTGCGTTAAAATTCTATTCTAATATTATAAAATAGTGTAATACAATCTATACTATATATAAAAACAAAATCCTGAAATTTTAACTTCCCGCCCAATTCCTAAAAAATCTCTCTTCCTAATAAAATATATTGATTTCTACTTTCCTATTCGTACAATAATTATGCGTTAAAATTCCGTTCTAATATTATAAAATAGTGTAATACAAATATACAATCTATTCTATATATAAAAACAAAATCCTGAAATTTTAACTTCCCGCCCAATTCCTAAAAAATCTCTCTTCCTAATAAATCTCTCTTCCTCGCCGGCTGAACCGGCCTTTATTTATTTATTTATTTTTTAAGTTGTAAAGTGTCCAAAGTTCGGCAAGGCATAACTTTTGACTCAGTTGTCCGTTTTGGACAAATGTTTTTTTGAAATCGCGTAATTTTTCGAGATCTATCCACCGCAAACTACCGTAGGCGGTTTGGCCCACCAATTTCTAAAAAAATACTTTATTAAAGAGTTTCTAAGAAAAAAATATGAGAACCTTATGTTTTATTAATGAATTTTTAAAATTTTTAATTAAACAATTGTCCCGTGCATTATTTAATAATCTTTCTTTATAATTGGTCAAATTATTTAATTATTGTAAATTTGGGAATAATTAATGATGGTAATAGAAATCCTAGAAGAATATAGAATTGAACAATATTTAATTATTGTTATATTATTATTGTGACTCACGGAGTACAAGAGTTAATGTCATTTTTGGTCCTAGACTTATTGGGGCATTGACACTTTTCATCTTCCATAATAAAAATTGCCACTTAGTAGCCACTGTTATTGATCGTTGGACAGTTTTGATCCTCCGTCAATGACGCCGTTTGTTGACCGTGAATTAGAAGGGTTTTTCTGTCTTTTTATGTTCTAACCCTTGTATTTCTCCATCCATTGGTCACTGCTACATCCATTTCTTCAAACTGAGGTTATCCGCTTCAGTCCTTTCTAACATTAAGAAACCATCTTCACCCAACTAACAATCACGAATTTTACATTTGGCATCAATCTCAAGATAATGG